TTCACAGGTGAATGTATGTGAAGTGAACGCAAAGAGCCGCACATACGGCATGCTACGCTCCTGCGTACTCCGGCTAAACGCGATCTAATTGATTAACTTTATTCGTTAATAACTCTGTAAATAATGGTCTGAGCCAAAATTGAAAGAGGAACTTTTAGTTCAAAATTTCATTCTCTTTCACGCCTTGAAATATTAATTAAGCGTTACGGGACACCCTGTATATTCAAATGTTGAAATGTAAAATTATGAGGGTATTGTTTGACACATAGATATATAATTCTTCATTAAAGAAAAGGGATTTAACCATTATAAATTTAATTTAGTAATATATTTAATTCGATGCATTTGATTCTTCTCAGCAAAAGACTCGCACGGGAAGCGCAGATCGCTTATCTCTCACGAGACGGTCAAGTGGGTGTCATGTAACATAAACCTTTCGGCACACGGCCCGCACGAAATTCTTGCTGTACGATAAGTGAAGCTTCTGGAAGATTCTAGAAGGTATGATGTAAAATGAATTTCTGTTTCCTGTCGATTGTTAACTCTTTCTATGGGACCAAGGGAAAATCCATGCCGGTCACTGCAGCAGTTTAACAATAGTCGGGTCTGTGATTTTCCATATAGTGTACATATGCGGATTCTATTATGAAATCTTAACGGAATTCTTATAGAAAGTTTCTATAGAAGTCCGTTGAGACTCCTTTTTACGAAGGCAAGAAAAAGAAGAAAAATCGCTCGCAACTAAAACTATGTTACGCAAGTATATATTGTAAGGGGTCTTAAGGCTCTTTGATCGCGTCAGGATGCGACGAAAGAGAGGCACGAACGAAATCAAAGTCAGAATAGATGCAGAGTTAACACAAATACATTCGTTTATTTTTCACAGGCACTGTACAGAAAAAGTCGCTCGTAATAATCTCCGCGCGAAAAAGGCGCTTCGCTTCCCGTGGTCGCCGGTTTTGTCCGTGCGTACCGTGGTGCGCGCGCCGCTGCTACCACGCTGTGCGATCGAGATGATCACGCTTAATGTGCGTGATCGCTTGCCCTATTGTCACCCGCGCGGTGACGTCGGTGTACGGCACTGCTTTAAGTGCCCTTGCCCGTTGTGCGGGGTAGAAATTTCTTACAATATACTTATTAAGAAATTGTACTATGAGGGCGAATTTAATTATATGAAGATCGATTATATATATTCTGAAGTAATAAGGCAGCAACGTAGCGCTATATGAGTGAATACAAAGAAACGCTCAAACATAAATAGTTAAATGTGATTATATGATAGATTATTATATTAAGAGAAGGGTTCATCTACCCTGAGCAAAAGAATGAAATATTAAAGCTATCTTGCGATCATGCGTGTAATGATCGCGAAAATTAGGCTATTTATTTTTACTATGACGTTGGATATTATTATAGGTAAGGGTTTCTTTGCTTTTCCCCTTGAATGAAAATTTATTCTTAAGCATAAAATCAAAGTATTAAAATAAATCATATTGTGTGATAGTAAAAGCGCAAAATAGAGTGGCGCCATCTAGCGTGCTTCGCGAAAACGTTCGGGAGAGCGGCCATGCCCGCGATTTAGCTGTAACCGGAGATTGAGCTGGAGATTTCAGCGCCTCTATGTCCACAAAACGTGGACATTGAACTACGTAGCCAATGTCCACGATTTTGTCGGTTATGTCCACGATCTTTTGGTGGTGATCCGTGCTATGTCCACGGTTGTGTTCCGTGCTATGTGCAGGAATGCGAGTAGGTTAGATAGACAAGGACGGACATCAATCTCGGTCGTCCTTATCTCACCACCAGCTAACAGACACGGAGCTCGAACGGCGAGTTGTTTATCTCACGGACACATTCCCCTCTCTCCCGTGCCGTTTTTTTTGTCTCGCTGCGTTACCGAAATGTAGAAAGAGGATTTCGGGCGATTTCTGGCAGCGAGATAAAAGATAGCTAAAATACAATTTTGAAATATAAATGTTAAATGCTGTCGAGACACGCGTGTATATGATTATGCATAACAAATACGCGCGGGTTGAATACATTGTACAAGGAATAAATAAAAATTACTGTAATAAGAGAAATGTTTGACTCTTTTGATTTTTTCGCTCGAAAGCGATTTTATGTAAAGATGAGTTATTAATATTTTTTTATTTTAATAAATCACAAATGATAGATCAGTAAGTTCCGAACAGATACTCTTGTAAAGTTCCTTTGGCTCGGCAGTAGCGCGCCTGTCCCGTAATAGCGAGATCGTTGCGTGCCGGTTCGAGTCTCGACAAATTTTTTTTGTCAAATTAAAATTTGTAATTTTTACAAAAAAAATTGTAATAATAAATCACGCGGATTTATACATTTTGTCCATTTTACTTTCCATAAAAAAAAGTAGTAAGATACATTTTCCCTTTTTACTTTCATACTCATTGTCTTGAAAATTAATTTTCTTAATTGCTGTGTTATCAAAATACAATGTCTACATTTAGGAGTGGAAGAATATTATAAATAATTTGATCTAGGGCTATGAATAAATAGTCATAATATTCTTACATCTCTAAATGTAGAAATTGTATTTTTAACACACAGCAATTGAGAAAATTAATTTTCAAGACAGTGAGTATAAAAGTAAAAAGGGAAAATGTATGTACAACTTTTTTTATGGGAAATAAATGGATAAAATGTCTAAATCCGCGTGATTTATTATTATTATTATTTTTTGTTTAAATTGAACCTATTAAAAAAAAATAAATTCAATGGTAATCGCATTAGTTAGATTTTGCAAGTACAAGTGACGCTATTAATGTTATAATATTATATGTATTCCTTTTTAAAAATTCAAACATATTTATGAATTGAACTATAAACTTATACTAAGAATTGTACGGAATAAAGAAAATGAAATTGTTTTTAATCTATATATATTTATAACACATATAGTTTTTGCTACATATATATATTTTTATTTGTATCATATACCTATTTATTTATGTATTATTGATGTACATTATATTATATTTATTTGTTGTAAAAAATAACGTTGATCCCTTCACCCTTTCCCCTTATAACGGTGCCCATATTGGCTCCACCTCTGCCTCTTCCTCTTCTGCCTCTTCCTCCTCTTCCTCTCCATCTTCCTCTTCCTCTTCCTCTCCCTCTTCCTCTCATAGCTTCAAAGGCCGCAAAAATAATGTTTTGCAAATTAGAAGTCTGAAACAAGAAATTTTAAAGATATGTTAATGCTATTTATGAAAGAAAGAATATATTTAATATATAATATATTTTATTATTTATATAATAGTAATTGAAACGAAATTAATTGAAAATAATACTAATCAATAAAATAACTTATAAAATGATAAAAAAATTGTGTTCCAATTTTTACGCGGATACTAAAACGCGAATGTTAAACTAAAACGTATGAATTTTTTTCTTGAATATTGAAAATATAAAGGTGATAGTCCCTATTATGGATTATTTAAGATAAAAACGATTTTCATTAAATATAACAATAATAAAGTAATTAAAAAATAAAAAATTTTCCTGTTATTTTACTAAATCTGTATAATTGTATGAAACTTTAATTTTGCTAATTTAACCTATAATTAAGACCCGACTTATAATTGGGAATCACCGTCACCTTATATTATTAAATATTATTAAATATTGTTTTTCTATAGTAGATACTTACATTTATCACAATATCTTCGCCTGCCTGCACTGTCGTTGCTGCCGTCGTCGTCGTCGGTGTTATCGCCGTAGTCGCCGTCGGCGTCACCGTCGTGGTCGCCGTCGGCGTCACCGCCGTGGTCGCCGTCGTGGACGTCGTCGGCGTAATTGCCGTAGTTGTCGGTGTCATCACCGTCGTCGTCGTTGATGGCATCATCGTCGTCATCGGCGTCATCGCCGTAGTCGCCGTCGGCGTCACCGCCGTGGTCGCCGTCGGCGTCACCGCCGTGATCACCGTCGTGGACGTCGTCGGCGTAATCGCCGTAGTTGTCGGCGTCATCGCCGTCGTTGTCATCGGTGTCGACATCATTGTCGTTGCCGTCAGTTTTGTACTGAAAAAATAAAATTTCTATTACAACACTGAAAAATATTTAATATACAATTTCAATATAAATAATGTATCTTTCTAATAAGACACGCACGCACGCACACAACATATATACTTACTGGCTCTTTCGCACGTGTGATCCTTCGGATTCTTCCGCCACGACGTTGCACGTGGAATGTTCGAAAACAGAGCACTCGCCGGCTCGCCAGGCTTGTGTTATGTTGCACTACTTGCGCTGTTGCCGCTAATTCAATCGCATGTGTACCGGTAAATTTGTTCGATAGATTTCAATCTGTTACTATAGAAATACGTGTGTACGATAAGTACACATAGTCATAATATTTGTTATATTATTATAACTTTTATATGATTTTCGATTTACATTTATTAAAGAGTAATTTTACTTGTTAGTAAGGCATATATTGTGTATGATTTAATTAATGAAAATCTGTCTTCTTTTTAGTAATACATTAAATATAATTTATTGACATTATGACATATATAAATTCGGACAATTGTAATAAATTTGTAAATATCATAATATATGTATAGAAAAATTTGTTTGATATATGATATCTTAAAACCTAATTATCAAAAACTGCTAAATATATATATTTATATAAGCTGTACTTTTCTAAATTTTAACAAATATTATGACAATGGTCAAATCTCATTGTTTTGTTCCATGTCTTTCTCGTAAACGTTTAAAAGTAAACCGTTAATATAATACGATAAACAAAACAGCGCGAAGACGTTGCGCGACGATTCAGCGCTCAGGCAATTGTCCGGCGCAGTCAATGATTGACCGTTCGACAGTGCACTTCGTAGCGTGTTTGATAGCGTGTTCTTTAAATTGTGTACCAAATCGGTTTTTGGTAGCAATTATAAGTTCGTTTTTTTTCTTTTTATTTATTTACAGTTCTTGATTTGTGCCACAAATCGAGTTTCTGTTATTTATTTATTTTAGTTTTTCTTTTATATTTTTAATATTTCTGAAATCAGTTTTCGATTGAACTTATTTATTTTAATTTGTTAAATTTCTTTAATATTTCTCAAACAGTGCAACAAATAATTTTCAGTTATACGTGTTCCTTATAATTTTGTTTATTTGTGTAATATATTAACACACATAAAGTAGTGTGCATAAAGTAAAATCATATTTAGCATTTTTTTTTATCGAAAAATTTCTAAAAATTAGATAAGTAAACAATGAGTCAAGGCCGTGTGGAAAGTGTTTACGACAAATGCATGTATATAAATTGCCTTAATGGAAAATATTCTACGGGATCACATTTATTCAGATTTCCTGTTATTAGTGATGCAAGATGTCAATTATGGATACGTAACAGCGGTAAGTTCTTTATCATATTTGTTATATTAATTATTGGTAATTTGCTCGAATCAAGGAAGTATTTTAGTCTGGAACGAACATGTAAAATGTAGAGTATTTTTAGGAATTAAAAAAAAAATGCTGTACATATTTTCTTACGCTTTGATACATTTATGTGTCAAATTTACTGGCACATATTGATAAAAAATCTGCAATTTTTTTGTTTAAATGTTCATTAGTTTTTATATTACGTAAATGTAAAACCAAACATATTTTTAAAATTGTCTGACAATTTATTACGAATTACTGAAATTATCGTCTTTACTCTGTTAAAGAGAATCGATATAAAATAATAGAATAAAATCTGAAAAAATCTTATTATTCCCTAATGTAACTATCGTTTCACTTTTTATATTAAAAAAAAATGTTATTTTTTCTTGTCATTATTTGATAAAAACGAATTAAATCATTAGAATGCAATAAAAATAATTTTTGGTTTTTCTATTTATTTATTTATTTACTTATTAATATAAAAAATTAGAATTAATTTTTAATCGAGAGAAGTAATCGCGAAGAGCTGCACGGTATGCCACACTCCTGCGTATTCCGGCTAACGCGATCTGATTGATTTACTTCATTCGTAAATAATGGTCTGAGCCAAAATTACTAAAGGAACTTTTAGTTCCAAATTTCATTATCTTTTACACCTTGAAATATTAATTAAGAGTTTTGAGACACCCTGTATACGGAAAAGTAATGAAATAATAGATATTAAAAAATAGTAATTTAAGTCTATGTAATTATAGTCGTAGTCAATATTTATTTTGGAGCAGTCTGGAGTAAAGACGATAATTTCAGTAGTTTCTAAGAATTTGTGTCAGACAATTTCAAAAATATGTTTGGTTTTAAA